TATAGCATGTTATTGTGTGTTTTCTCAATTTTCTTTCAGAGGGGGCAGAAAGCCAAATATGCTTTGGCCCAGAAGTAGTGAAGGGGAATGGCTGAGGCACTTACTAGTTGAGTAGAGGCCATGAAGTATGGGTTTTCGACCAACAAGGGTTTAGGATTTAGGGGTTAGGGCTAGCGTTAAGAGAGTTTAGGGTTTAGGGTCACCCTCTCAATAGGGGTTCCCTCAAACTCCTTAGCGAAACTCTTGAAACATCCAGTTGTGCTCACTAGGAGCCTGATCAATATCCCGTATGTACAGGGGCCAATTCGACTGAGTAAGTAGGCCATATGTGCAGTTGCGAGTAGCATGAAGAGTCCTACTTTTGATGATATACATCCTGCATTATTTTAAGGACCCTGAACTATGCAAATGATGGTAAATTCCTTATTATTGGTAACCGAGACCCTGAACCCTAAACCCTAAATTCCCTATGATGGGTAAGCAGTTTTGCCAGAGATCGCATGTGCTCTCGCGAGCGAGCTGAAGAAACGCAGCACGGAGGCAAGCGGGATCGCAGGCAGCAGCAGCATCATCAACGTCAAGCTCCTCGGTAACCAACGTTTTGGAGTGCAAGCCCCAGGAGATGGCTCTCTTGCAGAATGCTCACATGCAGCTGGGGGGCTTTGTGAAAAAGAATCCAGGGAGCCCGGTGCATTTGTGGCGGTCAGCATGCTCGGAGGCGCTTGTGCTCAACCTGCTTGCCGCAGCCATGGAGCAACTTTTTGGGCTGGGTCGGGCCGAGAGGCTTCGCCTCCTGTCGAGGTTGACCACCGCCCAGATCGCGCCTGCCTCATGGATGCAAGCCTATATAGGCTTTAGATCTACAGGGAAGATAAAGATGATGCCAAGTTAAGACATAGGTAACCGTACACGAATGTCAAAGACCACGGCAACAAGATCTTTGTCTTCACGAAGGCGGACGAGAAAGGAGTCTGGATGGAACACGATCCCCTCTTGGCGCCCAAGGAGACCGTTTTCGTTCACTTCGGGCTCCTGCTAGTGCATGATTTATCTCATCAGCCGTACTTCTCGAGCCCCCTGGTGCTTTAGCAGGGATTCCGTGGGATCCCCCACGCAACGCGCAACATCTTAAGCCCTAGGGGGTGTGGGGTTTAGGGCTCATCCTAAGCACTAAACCTAAATCCGCCGTCCTAAACCAAGCCGAAATCCTAACAAACACGCAACCCATGCAGACCCTAAGCCCTAAAACCTGAGCCATAAACTCTGGAAGACCGTTGTCGTAGCCGTGTACCGCCGATACAAAGCCCATTCTAGACTCGTATAAACTCCATGTTGCAGAACCCATAAAAGCTCCATACTACCTGTATAACATCCCCTGTGCCCAGAGAGCCCAATGCACCCTGAAATAAGGCATGTGGCCTAAACTGTCTTGGGCTCTCTGGGTAGAACCATGCAAGACCTTTGAACACCGCCCTTTATCTATCCTCAAACCCCGAGCCCTCAAATCCAAACCGGCAGCCATAAGTAGTACACCCGGCTCCAGGGACTAAAGGAGGGACCCCTTAAAGGGACCCTTGGGGTTATATAGGGGCTTAATGAGACTACATAAGGGGTATATAAGGGTTATATAGGGTATTAGGACTAGGGGTGTCGTCTAGGGGTCCCTCCTATTGTCCCTTAACACCGGGGTTCAGGGTTTAGGGTTCAGGGTTCCTAAACCCTAAACCCTACCCTAAGTCTCATGGACCCCCATAGTGAAAGCCCAAAGCCCGAACCTTCCCCTACAAAGCCCAGAACAGCAGTAAAGGCACGCAGATTCAAGCCCAACAGGCTCCTAAACCCATCACCAAAGACCCCCAGAACCTAAACCTAAGCACCTAAGGCCAAAAAAACTGGACCCCAATACCCTAGCCCGCCAAGACACCCTAAACCTTAAACTCTAAACTCTTATAAGGCCCCGGAGGATCCCATTTTTTCAGAGATCCCCTATAGAACCTGAAACCGTAAACCCTAAACCCCTAATTCGAAAACCTAAAACCCCACAACCTGGGTTTAGGGTTTAGGGTAAACTCTGAACTCTGAACCTTACCTTAACCTAGGTTCTTATCATAAACCCCAATATGGGATCATAGGGAACCTACAAAAAAACTAGGTTCTGGTGGGTTAAGGTAGACCCTGAACCCTGAACCCTAAGAACCTAAAGAACCCAGAGAAGTCTCCCTAAACCCATAAACCCTAAACCCCAAGTCTGGGCCCGAAAAGCGCCCGAGGCCACCCGAGCTTCGCTGCGCCATCGACGGCCGCATCTGCACGGAGTCACCTCGCAGCATTTGGCCATTCCCTAAACCTAAACCCTAAACCCTAAATTGCGGACCCTTTTTAGGTCCTCAATGTAGTAGGAAAAGGCCCCCAAAAGGGACTTCATTCTAGAGAATTACCCATTTAGGGGTTAGGACTAGGATTTTGGGGCTTTGTTCGTTCAAGGGTACTACAAGGATTTTTGTTTCAGCTTAGGGGGGGGTGAAGATTTGGGGGCTTGTAAGCTTCAGAGATGTAAGGTTACGTGGATCTAGGGTTTAGGGGTTTGGGGTTTAGGGGCTTAGGGTTTACCTATAGTCTCCATTGTAGTTCCTTTCTGGGGGTACTTCATGAAATCCTTAATCAAAAAAACGGTTAGACCAAAGCAAGGACTAAAATGGAGACTATAGGTAGGGCTCCCCTAAACCTTAAACCCTAAGCCCCAAACCACGAAGGGCTCTATAGGGGTTGAGGGTTTAGGGGTTTGGGGGAGAAGAGTTCAGGGCTTAGGGCTGAACAGTGTCTCGTCTCATGGCCTTTTGGTAGTTGGAGCAAGGGTCCTGAATATAGTTTTGGGTTTAGGGGGTTTAGGGTTTAGGGTTTAGGGGCCTTAATAATTAGAACAAGACTTTGGGGTCCTTTATGCTGTAATTTTTAGTAAGGAGCCCCCAAAACCCTATTCCCCCTACCTCAAAGGGCTCCCTGAAGGATTGCGACAAAGGTGTAGGGCTCCCAGCATGCCGGGGTGAAGGCGACGGCGGCCTTTGGGTATCCTTACAGCCTCGGGTTCTCTCTTAAGGGTTCTAGAAGGGCGTTATAGTAAACCCCCAAAAAGTTGGAAACCGGATTCAGGACAATTAGTTCTGGGAGTCTCTAGACAGTACTCTTCAGGATTGCGGCTATTGGGTTTCCAACTTTTGGGCTTCTACTGCAGATTGATTGATGTTCTAAGCGTTCTAGAAAGGACCGGACTTCTGGAGTGAAAAGCTTCGGGCTTTGGGCCTTCAGGGTCCAGGGTCCGTTGGGGTTTTGGGGGTTTTAGGGTTGAGGGTTGAGGGGTTGGTGTTTAAGATTTTTAGGTGGTGTTGAAGGTTCCAGGGTCCGTTGGGGTTTGGGGGTTTTAGGGTTGAGGGGTTGCGGGGTTGGTGTTTAAGATTTTGAGGTAGGGTGGAAGGTTTAGATGCAATCTTCCGGTTTGGGAATTCAACTGGAGGATTCCCATGAGTTCTTTCGACAGTCGAGATCTCGTTCGTGATCCTGAGCCATTGCGCATTTCAGTCCAACTCTGCAGGTGATTCGCTCCCGGAATACCTAAACCCTAAACCCTAAACCCTAAAGCCTAAAATGAATGCCTGCATGAACCCTGAATTCTAACCTCGGGGTCGGAAGAAGTACTATCTGGTTTAGGGTTTGGGGTTTAGGGTTTAGGGTGCCACCACTAGGTCATGGGACAGTATCCACCCAACACTCTATTCCCGCAGGAAACCCTGAGGCCTAAAGCCGTGATGTTCTCTTGCCATGTAATCTAGGGGCCTAAATAATTAGAATAGGATTTGGGGGCCCATTATACGATCAGTATATCATGGAAGCCCAAGAATAGTATTGGTAGTTATGCAGGCACCTACATTAGCGCAGAAGCCGGAATAATTGCCAATGCTATCCCTTGCTTGAGGTGCCTCAAGATACTTAGCCGATACCTGATGTTCCTTGCTTATCAAATTAAAAGATACATATACTTAGACTCTAATGTAGCTTAAGATATGTAGACAGACTATAATGTAGCCACCCCCCAAACCCTAGACCCTAAACCCTAAACCCAAACCTTATACCCTACAATCCTAAATCCTAAACCCTAAACCCAAAAACCCTAAACCCTAAACCCTAAACCCTAGCCTTGTTCCGAGTGTTGAGTGTTGCTTCTCTGAGGCCCACGCTGGCGGCACCAGGTGGTGATCTCCTGGATGCCTCTAGCCCTAAACTATCCCTAGCCTCCTAGGTACCTACTATATAGGGCCGTAGGGGCTCTAGTACCCTATATAGTAGGTACCTGGGGGGTCAGGGTATGATGTTGAGTAGGATCTTTGTTTTTACTATATCGGGGTACTGTATTGGTTCCGAATATAACTAACCCAAAAAGTATATACTTTCGCCCAGTTGGCTACTGAACAGCTCAGTAAACCGTAAACCCTAAGCCCTAAACCCTATCTGCAGCGATTGGCACGTGCAGTGCTTGGGGCTTCGGGTTTAGGGATGAAGGTTTGTGTTTTTTTTTCACAGGGCGTAGATCATGCAAATGTGTACGTCGAAGGGGTGTGGGTGTTGATTTTGTGGACAGAGTCTCGCAAACGGTTATTATCAAAGTTCCATGGTTGAGTTTAGGGTTTAGTCATCACAGCATTAGTAGCAACAAGAGTAGCAAGAAGTATAAAACACAATCTGCCATCGTCCTGTTCATATCTACCACAACCAATGCAGAAGATAGCACCCTAAGCCCTAATCCCTAAATTCTTAATCCCTTTATAGACTCTAAACCCTAAACCAAGTGTTGTCGAGAATGGGCACGTTCTCGGTCATGTAAAAAACCTCGAGCAAAAATCGCTCAGGCCGTGGAGCTTGAGTTGCTGAACCAGCACTTCTGACAGAGTTTCAAGCACGTGCAAGAGCTGCAAGAGTCTTGCCAAACGGAGCTGTTCTCGCACAAGGCCTGTGATTCGCTCCGGCTGCGGGGAGTGTCAGAGTATCGAGTGTCAGCCCCCTTTCGGCGCTGCGCGACGTGCTGCGCGCGAGCTGGATCCTGGAGCGGCCCGTGGTGCCGGCGGTTGCTGGTTGCTGGGATCCATTCGCCGGCGTCTGGGCAACTACCAAGTTTCCTCCAGGAATCGACATCCTCAAGTATCGAACCATCGGCGTAATGGGCAATCATGACGGGCCATGCCCAGCTGCTCTCGAGGCGGTGACGGATGCAGATCTGCTCTTCACGGGACACGGGAGACCACGGTGACAATCGCTTGAATCCCCAAAAAACCCCTCATTGCGGTAACGCCACCATTGGAATTTGATGGGCTGCAGGGGTTGATATCGAGGAGTACGTCGAGTCCTGAGGGTAAACCCATAGCCTTCTGCTCTGCATTGCAGATTCTGAACTCTAAACTAGCACACGGCAAAAGGCCGCATAAAAAAAAGACAGTAAACCCTAAATACCCTGAACCCTAATCCCCAAGCCCTGAACCCTAAGCCCTAAACCCTAACCTAATCCCTAAACCCTAATATATAGTACATTGGGCCCTGAACAACAAGATGAGGCCTTGGAAGCCCAAAGTCTAGACAGTTTAGGGTTTAGACGGTTTAGGGTTTAGGGCTTCGGCTTTAGGGGTTTAGGGTTTAGGGGTTAGGAGGTTTAGGGTTTTTGGCCGTCTTCACGGACGCAACACGTTCTCCTAAGCCGTCATCTCTCAAAAGTCCATTCAAAAACCCAGAGTTCGGCCCGAAACCGCTGACGTAACTATCTAAACCCGCAAAATGTGCACTAAACCCAGGGTTTTGGGTAGTGAGTTGGGTTTAAGGTATAGGGATTAAGGATTATAGGGTTTTGGGTCTGAAGTTTGATTGTACCCTTAACCCTAGACCCCGAGACTCAGGTTCTGTACCAGCGGTCCTCCATCATGTGCTGGCTGAGCCATCGCAACGTCTGCCCGGTCACAGGGGTGCCGCTGAAGGCCGCTACTTCAAACATCATACATATGGGTAGTTGTCAAAATTATGGTCCCTTTTGGGGTACCCTGAATAATAGGTGCCGTATTATAATAAGGACCCCAAAAGGGACCATAATTTTGACAATCACCCATATGTGGTGTCTTTGTGCTTGTTCCTTCCTTCCTATATGCACGGTGTTCTTATTTTTGTTGGGTGATTTGGGTGATGCGGCACCACGGTCTGTTTCGGGGCTGTAGGCGGGCTTCAGGCATATGGGACGCGGTCGCTCTGAGAATTTTAGGGTAATCTTAGCTCCTGTTGAAAGCTTAGGGCTTGGCTTCTTGTGGATTTAGGGTATCAGTCTTCCTTCCAGTCTCATGTAGGGTTTAGGGTTTAGGGTTATGTAAAGGTCTGAACCCACACGAATAATATGCCTTAGGCTGGCTTCCTTCATATAAGTGTAATATATCGCAGAAGATTACATATGTTATGCTATATATATATATGGGCCTTACTCATGTCTTGATAGTTCATCTTGTTAATATCTACTTCAGATTAACCCCCCAAATCCAACTCCCGAAACTCCCAAATCACGTAGTCTTAAGATCACAACGCCCTTTGTGAGCTCCACCTACCCTCAATCTTGAATACTAGAGCTGTATCCTGTAGTCTGCACCTGCTCAAGCTGCTTATGGTTTGTTTGGCCAAGGGACCACTCAAAGGGCTAACGGCTAAAGGATGGGCTCCTTCAGGGCGTTCCTGACTTCCTGAACGGCGTTTAAGCGGTCTTGTCGGGGGGGGGGGGGGGGGGT